ACACTTGACACTGCCTGCCACACACCTGACACCTGACAGTTATTGGAGATAGATCAGGTTATGGATGTAGTAGTACTCACTTCCTAAGGGGAATTGACAGACCATGTTTATACCCAAAATAAGGGATCACATTAGCATTTGTATGTTATGTAAAGTTTTCAGTGTTATCGATAGACTTGCGTATAAGGAACAGGTTACGAAAAGTTATTTTTGCACACTAATTGATGAAATTTCTTTTCTCTTTGCTGGAATGTATCGTATGTATGTAACTGAATCTCTCTGAAGTATGAAGTTTTTTTAGAAGGTTAACTATTGTTTTGTATTCAACATTAAGACTTGAAGTGACTTTTTTATTTTTTTTCTTGTAAGCATCATATTTTTTTTGACCTAATTCATAAGCCCCAGCAAGAATACCTGTTTTAATCTGATATAACTTGTAGTCAGATTTTTCCTCTCTTTAGCCGGAGTTCAGTGCGTCTGCTGCTGCCACTGCAGTACTAACTTTGACCTATGTGACTGCCTAGATGGAAATGTAAATGAGGTTTAGTAGTTATGTTTGTGCCTTGTATTTTTAAATGAATTTCTTGGAATCTTTTGAATGATAGTAAGGTGGTGGAGTCTTGTTGAATTCTAATATCCAGTGGTATAGGCTAAGGGAATCTTAATAAGCAGAAGACCTGAAGAAAATGCTTGAGTTCATTATATTCTCTTGTGGTAGGAAAGATTATAGGCTGTCTGATGGTTTTCTTTGGTAAATTGTTGAGATTTAGTCTTGGAATTACTCTAGGGAATATTAAGTTCAACTTAATTTAAATGTTTTGTAAATAAGATTTATATTTATATATAAAAATGGTGGTTGTCTAAAGGCAGTATGAATAGTTGTAAAAGAGAAGTATCTGACAAGAACCTTTCCAGGTTTAACCAACCTTATTGACAGGATCAATTGAGAATCATTATAATTTTAGATACTTAGATGTTTAGAAAAATAGTGTTTGTAGTTATAGTTCTTTGCAATTGCAAAGACCTGACTTCATGCCTGGACTTTCCTCTCAGTCATCTCAACCGTGAGTGAGTACTGGTATACTGATGTCAGTACTCTGGAGTCAAAGTCATGGCAGAACATCATCCCACGGCATAGTACGTAGGATGACATGTCATCTACGTCCACTTGTATATAGGACAAACTTTGACCTTTGACAATATATATTATTTTGTGGGTAGTGGATTGTATTTTCTCATTTGGCTCTATGTGATTAGTATTAACTTGTAATAGGCAATATAAAGTGCATTGTTTTTGAGTCTTTTTATCATTGTTAGTGAATGTAATAATAGGAGCCAGATTATAAAAAAAGATACTCTGTATAGGTGATATAGTGATGAACCATTTTTCAGGTGAGCTAAGGGAATGCCTCTTAGGGAAGCTTTTATCTGTATTGATGTGGGCTAACATTGGTTTTCCCACACAAGCTTATAATGTTGGGTAGGTAAACATTACAGGTTGGGGGAAAAACCCACCAAGACAGGTATGCCTGGCCACACTTCTTTATTTTTTTGGTTGTTAATCATTGGACTTTATTATGAACTGTGAGTGTAGAAGATATGAGGAAGATACAAAATTCAAAACAGATTTGTTTAGAAAGTATCATCTGAACTTAGATCTATGTTTTTTTTTTATTTTTTATATCTGTCTCAAAAGATCTTATTTTTACCCTCTCTTTGAATGAAATATAAATGATCTTATATTTGGGGGGCTTAGGCTAGATATATCTTGGTCAAATTTACAAAGTCATTCTTTGCTTTTGTTGCATATCCTGAAAATAAGATGAAATATGTCCTTTTTTTTTGGCCTTCAAAATGGTGTGTTAATTTTCATTTGAATTTATGAGTAAGGCTTTTGCATTTTACTGGCATTTGTACATTGGGTTACCTTTATCATTGCACATTTGCATAGATGGTGTTATCTGGATGATAAATAAAATGTTCTTATATACTGTCATAACATGTGATTGTGATATTGTGAATGAATGTCAGTTTTACTCAAGGAAGAAGTTCATAGGTATGTCAGTTAATTTTAGAAAATAAGTTATGATTAATATTGGGTTATTGCACTCCAAGTGGACTTGACTTGTGACTATAAAGTATAAAGTTCAGTTCCAGGTGTGTTTAATTAGCCCACACCAATCAGTTCTGACTATGTTCTTATAGTCTATTTATCTATGTAAAGTATTAGGGGCTTATTATTATTATGAATGTCAACATGATTTTGCTAGATGAAATACACTGTCAGGTTTCTTGGAGCTACAAGATAGTGAGCTAGTCTGGCAGGAGTTACCCAGTTTTATTTTTACTTTGTTGATAAGATAAATCATACATCCTGAGTAATGCTACAAGGTGAATAAGTCAGCGGGTTTGGTAATTTACTTCTATTTTATCTTAGCAGATAAATGATAAGGTGTGACTGCAGGGTCAGGAGAAAAACAGAAATAAATTTGATGGAAAG